AAATCCAATATCTGATAAAGCATCCCTTGAATAGGGAGACATCATCTTGAACTAATGATGTCTGTAGAGCTGCAGTCCTCCACTTTTGTCTGGTTACAGTGTTCACATTCGATTTGCGTTAGAGTCTCAACATACAAAATTCAAAACCATATTAATCTCACTCCAAACCACGGAGTCCGGAGGGTGAACGTCCTTAGTGTCGTAGGCAACTGTCATGTCCCATGCGTCCAGGAAAGCCACTTCGAGATCCCGAAAAACATCTTTTGCTGCAAGGTATTGAGCGTAGCCATGGAAATCACTAAATCGCTCCTGGTTTATGTCCATCTCCCGTATATTCTCTCCTTTTATGATGACCCTGGTGTCCGGACTCCTCAAGAGGAGACGCCGGATGGCTTGACGGACGTTGATGGCCCTTTGGATGAAGAACTCTATTGGGAAGGGACGGAAGTGCTGGCCCAAAGCAATGACAAGCACCGTATTTTTGTCACCAGCGATGTCGTCTATATCCCGAGCCATGTAGGAATGGTCCTTGACTGTGTACTCCAGGGATCCGATGAAAGGATGCCCGTGTTTTTTCCACTGGATCTGAATGTTTTGGGCAGTGTTGACAGCAATTAGTTTCTGTGGCTTCTCACCTACATGGACATCAAGATAGGTAAGGCCTAATGGGGAAGAGAAGAGCATTCAATGAAACCTTAAAATAATAATAATAATCTCTGTTGATTTATCTTTAAGCCGAGCCTGTCCTTCTCCATCATGTCTGCTAGTTTGCTTATCCATTCCTCCATCTGGGATGGTTATTGAGACTTTCCATTTTTGATCATAAACAATTCTTGCAGCTGTAACCCTGTATATCATTATTCTCCAAAGTCCTTTTTACCCATTTGTTTTTGCAATGCCATCTGTCAGTGGATAAGCTTATAGAGAATAGTATGAAGAAAGTCAAATAGATAGACATTTGAAATGAGAAAGAAATTAGAGAGGGAAATGCTGGGGAGGGGAAGGGAATTGAAGGATGGAAAAAGTAAAAGATGTAAACAATAACAAAACAAGGAATGGGTTAGAACCAAGGAGAAAGACAATTGAGTAGAGAGAAGAACAACAAGTGAATATGAAAATATAGGAAGAACAAAATATTATGAGGAAAGTACTGGCAAAACTAGATGAGAAGTTAACCAGAGCATTTATACAATGTAAATATTATTTTATTGTAATGTTTGTGAATATGCTGGTTTGTGTGTATAAAAATAAAAAATTATATATATATATATATATATATATATCATAATCTCTGGAAAATAAGTGGGCCATGCCTTGTGGGGAATACCCTAGAGTTGCTCTGTGTTCTTGGACCTAATGGGAACAGTTTATTTCAATGCAAAGAAAAGACCTTTATCTACTACAGGCAGACGAGCTGTTTACACTCCTCATATCATTTAGGGTTTCCAGGAACCCTGGTTGAGAAACCCTGGCTCCTGAGTGCCATGTCTGTGCTACAGGAAACAATGCTATATTTTAATATAACTAAATCAAGAACGTACTGGGCACTCTACTCTTGAGGCTCTCCATCCACTGGCGCACTGTCGAGTCTCCCATAAAATAGACCAGCTTGCCTTTCAAGCACATCTGAATCTTCTCCAAGGTGTTGAACATAGAGAGTTTGCAGAAGAGAGGGTGCCACTGGTTCTGCCACACAAAGCCACTGGGAAATGGGGGGTTTGTCTCAAGCCTGCATTTCTCGCTTGCCTTTGTCTGGTTGTCTGGAAAGAGGAAACAAGGGACAATCAGCTGAGAAGACCGTAAAGGACCACATTGAAAAAGAAGGAGGTGATACAGAGTCTGTGACAACCAATGAGAATCCCAACGAAGGAAGTAGTGCCTAGCCCTGCCTTCTGTCCTTTGCAAACTACTGATTGTGATGTTGTAGTTGTTGTTATGTGCCCTTGAGTCAACTCCAGCATACAACAAACATATCCAGGGGATGAGAGGTTGACAAACTTTGTTCAGAGGAGGTTTGCCATTGCCTTCCTCAGAGGCTGAGAGTGTGTGACTTGCCCAAGGCCACCCAGTGGGTTTCCCTCACTGAATGGGGAATCAAACCTGGGTCTCCCAGAGTCCTGAGCCAAAACACAAACCATGACATTACGCCAGCTCTTATGATTTGTTCAGAGGAGGTTTACCATTGTTCTTCTCTGAGGCTGAGAGAGTGGGACTCACCTGAAGTCATCCAGAGGGTTTCCATGGCTCAGCAAGGTTTTGAACCTTGATCCCATAGAGTCCTAGTCCAACACTCAAACCACACTATCATGCTGGTTCTTAAGGTTATTAAGAAAGAAACTTAATGGAAAGGTCCAGGAAGAGAAGAGTAAGAATGATGCCATAACAATAATGCATTCATTTCTTATAATTGTTTCACATCCTGATGACGTGCATAGAAAGTTAAGAGTGACTCACAGAAAGCCAAAACAATAATAAAGGCAAAGTAGAGAAAGCCAAGTATATTAAGACAGCCAGAACAGGATAGCCAGAAATCTTTTAGCATAAAGACTGGAGAATTTAAAAGGGTTGGCTGAATCAGATGGTCTTCCCTGTGCTCTCTCTTCCCAAATAAACAAGACATTGTTGTTGGTGGTGCGAAACCTGTCTCAATAGTTCACTGTGAACTAGACAAGTTCCTAAAGTGTAAAGATATGCAACTGAGCACTAAAGTTAGGATCATCCAACACTGTATTCCCCATCGTCATGTACAAATATGAGAGCTGGACAGAGAAGAAAGCGGACAAGAAGAATACCAACTCATTTGAGATGTGGTGCTGGAGATTGCTGAGAATACCATGGATGGCCAACAAGACAAACAAATGGGTCCTTGAACACATCAAGCCAGAACTCTCCCTGGAAGCCAAGATGAGAAAATTGAGGCTGCTGAACTTTGGCCACATTACGAGAAAGCATGAAACATTGGAAAAGACAATAATGTTAGGAAAGGTAGAAAGCAGCAGAAAAAGAGGAAGACCGCATGCTAGATGGATGGACTCTATTAAGGAGGTCATGGGCCTGAGCCTACAGAACCCAAGCAGAGCATTTGAGGACAGGGATGAATGGAAATGTCTCATTCGTAGGGTTGCCATGAGTTGAGACCGACTCAAAGAGAGTTAACAACAAATGAGCCAGACGTCACCCAAGCTGTGGCCAGAACCAGGAAATCCAACTCACCTTCACATTGTACAACATGGATTTCCCCAGTCATCAGAGGGATCTCAACTCCAATGTTGGACCTTCAAGAGAAAGTAAAGTGGCCATTGGGGTGAAAGAGCAGATCAGGATGTGTCAGTCATCAAAATCACTGCTGGTTTGCTCAAAGTCTTAGAATTCAATTGGCCTATTTGGGAAATGGAAGGCTTGACTACAGAAGACCTAGGCCAACTTCCAACAAGGTCATGTTTTGAGTTTGGAACAGAATGAGATAAACCACCTCTTCATTTTGTCTTGTGTACTGTTGCGAGTGGATCCCAATTCTTGCTGTGATTTCCTCTTGGAAGGTTACTTTCATCAGCAATATTGCTGATGAAAGTAACCTTCCAAGAAGTAACCACAGCAAGAATTGGGATCCACTCACAACAGTATATATCGATATGTCAGCAAAAATGAGAAATTTGTAAAGTACAAGTATGACCCTGAACCACTGGAAAAACTTGCCACATTTCAGGCTAAAGAGAAGGGACACAGATCAATACAATATGGAAATAAGATGGAAAATTTCAGATTAGATGGCACAAAAGTCAATACCTCTGGAAAAGACTCTGTTCCAACATGGTCAGATACGAGATGGGTTTGTTGTAAGACTTGAGGCGAATTAATGCTTCACATGGGACATCCTTTGGTTTGAGGCAGTAGAAGGCTTCTTGGTCCCTCTCATCCAGATACTCACACAGTTCTGCATTTTTGCTCAGGTTTAATCCACATTCAGTGGAGACCTCAGATGCTCCATTCAAAAATTTACCCATAAAAGCAATTTTCTCATAGCCCTTTTTCCTTGCAGCCCACAAGGCGGAAACTCCTTCACTGGGGTGGATGAGCAAGATGGAGGCTCTGACGTCCCCCTCCCAAAATAAGGTGAAATTGACCAAGTATGTCCCATTCCTGAAGTCTTTGATACTGCCAGATGCTCCAGCCTTGAGTCCCAATGAGTAGATCCTTGCTCTTATGAAGTCTCCTCCATATTCCTTCCTTTTTCCTAAATAGTCATACATATCCAGTCGGACCATCAAGTGTTCTCCTACACAATAAGAGTCTTTGTGGTTCAAGATGGTGGCTTTGCTGTTCTTGGCACTTGTGGTCTTACTTATATTCATAAAAGTAACATTGGGCATCAGGTGGTCCAGCTTTGCAAGGATTTCTTCTATTTCTTGAGTCTTTTTTGACCTCTTTGTTTCAGTCTGGCATAAGATTGCATCTTTCAGAGGCCCATTTCTGCTCCTGCCATCTTTGATTGAATAATTTTTAAAGGAATTGTTTTAAAGAAAAATTAAATTAATGTTACTGCAATTGTTAAATTTTGATGAATTAAAATTAAATGACATAAATAACTAATTACATTCCATCAGTTAGAAATTAATTAAATTCATTAAATTTCAAGTGAATTCAAAATGAACATTTGCTTTTAGTTAGCTTTCAAAATTTGTACTGAGTCGTAACTGCATGAGAGCCAGTGTGGTGCAATGGTTTGAGTGTTGGACTATGACTCTGGGAGACCAGGGTTCAAATCCCCACTCCGCCATGGAAACCCACTGGGTGACCTTGGGTGAGTCACACACTCTCAACCCCCCCTAAAAAAGAACCCCGTGATAGGATTGCTGTAAGTCAGAAACGACTCAAAGGCACACAATAACAAATTAACAACATCCTTAAAACATGGAACATTTTAATAAGTACCTACATTATAATGTAAACTTTTCAAACTGTGGCCTAAATCCTATTCCTACTTTTAACTAGAGTGAAGCCATTATGTGGCACAATGGTTTGAGTGTTGGACTACAGCTTTGGAGACCAGGGTTCGATTCTCTGCTTGGCCATGAAATTCACTGGGTAACCTTGTACAAGTCACACTCTTTCAGCCTGAGAGGAAGGCCATAGAAACCCCCCTCTGAACAAATCGTGTCAAGAAAACCCCATGATAGGTTCACCTTAGGGTTGCCATAAGTCAGAAATGACTTGAAGGCACACAACAACAGACAAAAAGCCATTGACGCAATGGGATTTACCCATGTTGATTCACCATTCCACAGTTGAAACCATGGGTCTAATCTTGTTAGAATTAACCAGCAAGTGTTGGTCCTACAATCTGTTATCTCCAGTAAATCTGAAATACTAGATGATATGGTTACAACGCTTAGGAAGGCCTTACCAAGTTCTGCAGTTTGCTGATCGGTTGCTGTTTGCCTTGTGGTACTTGTCACATTGCACATGAACTAAAGGGATAATGACAAGAGAGACCATAATTCAATGGGAGAACATATTGATGCATGTTGTTCCCTCCTCCCTGGTTCCAGCCCCAGCATCCCAATTTTGCTTCAAGTTTAAAGTCACAGGTAACAGGAGCTAGGGGTGCGTCCACACGGCAGAAATGAAGTAGTTTGTCATCGCTTTAACTGCCATGGCTCAATGTTTGGATTTCTGGGGTGTGTAGTTTTGTGAGATATTTAGCCTTCTCTATCAGAGAACTCTGGTACCCAATCAAACTACAAATCCTAGAATTCCATAGCAATGAGCCATGAAAGTTAAAGTGGTGTTAAACTGCTTCACTTCTTTAGTGTGGATGTAGCCTAGGAAAGACTATGTCTGAGATCCTAGTAGAGCTATCACTCAGTCATTGGGATGAGAGGACATTGGGAGCTATAGTCCAGAAAAGTCACTTGTCTAAATGCTGGCTCCTGGATACCCCTAAACAACATTGGGCTGGTAAAAAGAAGATGAAACAGCCACCCATTCTGGGGCAGATGTGCCAACCTTGAGTCAAAACCCAAATCATTGTTGGTGAGTACCTTTGTTCAGATGAAGGACAATGTCTGGTTCAAGGGTGGGGAAAGTGTGTCCCAAATGGGGCCACCAAGTCCTTTCTTCAACCCCAGGAAACAAAAATGGGCAGAAAAATTAAGATTTGCCCCAAGCAAGACCCCACAGATGTGACAGTTTAGCTTGATTCATGTCCCTCCCTCTCCAATACCAAACTAGGAAAGAAAACCCAGTACCGGAATGGCCATTGTGCCACTTCCAGGTTGCCAAGAATGTGCCATGTGGCCAAAGTAGGGTGAGACATGGCCTCCTGACTTCTAGCATAGTTTCTCACCAAAGAATATGAAAACAACTCAAGATCACACTCATTTTTTGCTAAAGCTGGTGTGATACCAAAGGTATCTTCTGCCCACCAAAGCCAAACAATTCCCTTCTGCTGCTTCTCTCCATTGGTTTGTATCCCAATCTGAGATCCGTACCGATCTTGGAAAAGTTACTTTTTGAACAATAAGTTTCCAGAATAAATTTGCATGCTATGCTGTCTGGGGGATTCTGGAAGTTATAATCCCAACATTTTACTTCCCCAAGATGTGCAAATGGTTTGGTTATAGGTCAGTTAGGGTGCAGATTCCTACCTTACATTGGTTTCTGGGAAAAATGTAGCTGAAGAACACAATCACACCAAACGCAAGGGCTGCAAAAAGGCACTTCCATGTGTACATGGCACGTGTTAAAGCACTGAAGCCACCTCTCTCTGAAAGAAACTGAGCCCAGAAATGTTCACAAGTCTCTTTCCAGCACCTTTAAGTACAAACCTGTCACAAGCCAAGGACACAAGACAAACAAAATAGCAATGTTTTGCATTGGGATCATAGTCAACAGAATCATTTCTTTTTTAAAACATCAACAACAATACAAATGAGCTGGTTTCCCATCATACATTTGTCATTAGAGTTGTGATTAGGAGAAAAAGGAATAGTTTTATGGACTTTGGGAAGTAGAATCTAATAGTCTCAAGCTTTTTCAGAAACCAAGGAACCAACAGATTGTGTTAGTCCTCTCCTATCTTCTTCTTCCTCTTGTTGTTGTTGTGTTCCTTCAAGTCCTTTCTGAAATATGGTGATTCTAAGGTGATCTTATTGTGGGGTTTTCTTGGCAAGATTTCTTCAACAGAGGTTTGCCATTGCCTTCCCCTGAGGCTGAGAGAGTGTGACTTGCCCAAGCTGGCTTCCATGGCCAAGCTGGGAATTGAACCCTGATCCCCAGTCATAGTCCATAATGCTCAAACCACTGCTCTAGGCTGTCTCTCTCCTCCTATGTTTTTAGGGGAATCCTAAAGGTGTCCATTCCAACCCCATGTGATTCTACTTCCTTCCTAAGAGATACTGAAAGCTCCTTTAAAAATGATTTTATGGCCACTTTTCTAGATAAGAAGAATCCCCAAAGTCTTGCAAAACAAACAAAGGAAACAAACAAAAGCCAAACTCAAATATTATCAGAAAATGTTCAAAAATAGGTTACCTTATTCCAAAAATAACTCCCAAGGAATCTGTCATGTCCAGCAGGAAACCAAGTTCAGAAAAATCAGGCTTCAGTAGTGCAAACACAGAACCTTTCTTTACAAAACTATAGACCCAGCCCAGTGACCTTCATTGTGAACAAACATCACTGTTTAAATTATACAATTGCAAAATTCAGGTAGACATCATGCTTATTTGCAATAATTCATAAACACACTTCTCCTTGTTTCCTCATGCCTCCCCCTTTTTGGTCTTATAATCAAATTCTATCTCAGGATTAACTTTGGACAGGCTTCCAGCATTATCTCAGGACCTTTGTCTGAAATAGCACAACTTCATAATAATGACATTTCTATTGTAGAACCCACCGCAGCAAATTCCCAACATTTGGTGGCAGGCACGTTGTTTATGCAACTCCTGACCAAATCTCAGGGCAACTTTAAGGCAACTTTAGCATGAGCGTTCCTGAACTGCAATCTGCTTCCTCACCTCCTTCTCAGGCGGTGGATTATAATCCAGAAAACCCAATCCTTGGTCAGATGGAGAGACGGGTTTGAGTGTTGGATTAGGATTGTGGGAAACCAGGGTGCGTATCCTCACTCGGCCATAGAAACCCACAATGGGCAACCTTGAGCAAAAGTCACCCTCCCTCACCTGTAGGCAAAGGCGACTGCAAGCTTCCTCAATAAAATCTTCCCATAAAAACCCCATGATTGCGCCACCTTAGGTTCACCATAAATCAAAAGAGAATAAAAGGCACCCAACCAGAACAGCCACTGATTAAAACTCTAGGCCTTAAAGGTGCCACAAGTCCCTTTATCGTCCTTTGTGGAGGAAAAGAACCTGCAGAGAAATTATAGTTCATTTCTTTCTCACTTTGTTATCAAAATGGCAACTTTCCCAAAGCTTTGAATGCAAGGAAGTCAAATCATTTATTTATTAAAGGCTTTGCACATGCCCTAAAATTGAGGAAGCATTTATCCAACTGTTACGATACCAAGGCGTTCTTTTCCTCTATGTCCTTTCTAGAGGGAAAGAGTTACCTGCTCTTTTTGGAAAAGAGAAACTAATCATTGGGGCCCTCCTTGATGGGAATGTTCTGCCACCATCTTCTGTGGTCACAAAGTATAGCCTCCAAGAAGGCCTTTGTCATTGTTAATGGCCTTTGTGTTGGTCTTGACCCATGGATGAGACCTCTCCAGGCCCTACTGTCCTCTCCTGCTCTGCCCAGCTCCTGCAAACTCATGTTCATGGTCTCTTTCATAAAGTCCATCCATCCAGCATCTGGCCTTCCTCTCTTTCTATTTCCCTCCACATTTCCTAACATTATTGTTTTTTCCAGAGATTCCTGCCTTCTCATGATGTGCACAAAGTATGCTACAGTTCTGCAAAAGACTTGCTGGTGCTTACTCCAGAGTCTAAAAAGAGCGAGAGTGGGAATCCATCCCCCCTGCGGCCATTTCTGCAGCCTCTGCACCTCCTCCTGGCCCCTCCAGCTGTGGAGAAAACCCTCCTCAAATCTCTCACTTGCTTACCTTCAAACTTTTGGATCCTCCAGTTCATCCACATCGGTCATTGTTTACCCTACTGCATCCCACAGCCTTTATCAGAAACCCAGAGATTATTTAATTCAGCCTCTTGGACCTTCAACGGTGTCATGTGTGTTGCTCCAGCCAGGAAGCCAAGTGTTTCCTGATGATAGCAGTCAGCTCAGTCTAAGTGTGTGTGTGTGTGTGTGTGTGTGTGTGTTGGGGGGAACCAGACATGCAGGCAGGAAAAGAATGTGGTTTCGCTTTCATAGGGTTCACATGCGTGGGGAGAAACTGGTGCTGGGAGGAGAGAAGCCTCCACTTGCATCAGTCTGGAATGACCCAGAAGGAAGGCCAACATGCCCGGTCAAGCATCCCTCCTCCCCTGCTACACTCCAGAAAAAGAAGGAAGTCTCCCAAAAGAGAGAGAACCGAGCCTTTGGGACTTAAAACCAGCCTCAACTTGTGTACTCACAACAATTCCAATTGTTCCAATTAAAACCAAGGAGGAACCATAGAATAGAATCATGGAATTATAGAACTGTAGAATCACAGAGTTGGAAGAGACCCCAAGGGCCATCCAATCCAACCCCTTTCTGCCATGAAGGAAGACACAACCAAAGCAACCAAACAGATGACCATTCGGCCTCTGTTTAAAAATATCCAAGGCAGGAAACTCCACCACACTCCGAGGCAACCTCTTCCACTGTCAAACAACTCTTACTGTCAGGAAGTTCTTCCTAATGTTG